ATGCATGAAATGGCTAAGAAGGCAGTGTTGATAGGGTGCAACTATTCAGGAACAAAGGCTGAGCTAAAAGGGTGCGTTAACGATGTATGGAGGATGCACAAATGCCTCACTCATTATTATGGATTCTTAGACGAGGATATCACAATTCTCATTGACACAGACAGTTCTTATACTCAACCTACTGGCAAGAACATTCGATCTGCCATGTCTAGATTGCTTCGATCGGCTCAGCCCGGTGACGTGCTATTCGTTCATTACAGCGGTCATGGCACCCGTCTCCCTGCTGAGACCGGAGATGAAGATGATACTACTGGCTATGATGAGTGCATTGTTCCCACAGATATGAATCTCATCACTGGTTAATTTTCTTACTTTCATATTATTTATATTTTATTCTTATTATTGGCATAGGAAGCACACAACAGATTTGTTTGACTTAAAGAAGTTTATGTTTTCAATCTATCTTCATTTACAAGTTTAAAGTCAAGTTTTGCATTTTAACTTCTATGTATTATTTTCTTGGCTGAAGATTAATTTATTTTTTCTCTAATTTTGTTATGATTCAAACAATTTATTTCAAATATGAATCAATAAATCAATATTTTGTTTTACATGTTTTCTAATTATTTATTTAAATTCATTTTATGTTTCGTGTTAAAGATTACTGAAATCTTTATTTGAATCTGCAGTATAAAGCAATGCAATAAACATTTGACATGCAAATACTGAAAGCAGAATATAATTATTTTGTTCAAATCTAATTAATTAACCATGCTGATACTATTAAATGTATCTTGTGCTTGGTATAATATATTATATTATATTATATTATATAAGGGCCAAAAAAACTGCAAACTGATATTATCTTTGCCACGACTGTCAAACGATGCTAATTGTTATTTTGGTTGCCAAATAGATGAAGATTTCAGGGAGTTTGTAGCAAAGGTGCCTAGAGATTGTAGGATCACAATCGTATCAGATTCTTGTCACAGTGGTGGATTGATTGAATTAGCAAAGGAGCAAATAGGAGAGAGCACACATGAAGGAGAACCAATTTCATCTCCAGGCTTCAAGAACTTCCTTCACAAAACTAGGGAGGATACACTAGAGTCCCGCAATATTGAGGAAGGACTCGATGAATTTAATCATGGGGAACACAGCTATGTGAAGAATAGGTCTTTGTCTCTTTCAAGTCTTATTGACATACTAAAGGAGAAAACTGGAGATGATGATGTAGAAATTGGAAAGATAAGGCCTACACTATTTTATATCTTCGGTGAAGATGCTAGTCCTAAAGTGAAGAACTTCATTAAGTATTTCTGGAACAAAGTTCAACTAGGTGATGAGAGTGGAGGCCATGGTGGAATTTTGGGGCTGGTGAACAATCTTGCCCAAGGACTTCTCAACTATAAGCTGAGTGACAGTGATGAGGAAAACGAAGATCCTGTCAAGCATACACCAGAAGCATATGCTACATCAACTAAGCACCACATTGTCGAGCGTGGAATTCTACTGAGTGGTTGTCAAACTGACCAAACTTCAGCAGACGCTAGTCCACATGGGAATCCTGATGAAGCTTATGGGGCATTTAGCAATGCCATACAAGCTATAATTGCAGAGACTGGTGGTGTAGTTACAAATCAACAGCTTGTCCTGAAGGCAAGGAAGAAACTTCATAGGCAGGGTTACACTCAGAAGCCTGGACTTTATTGCAGTGACGACCATGCCAGTGCTCCTTTTGTGTGCTGATATGAAAGTGATACAACTTATGTTGATTTTCAAGTACTTTTATGAGTTTCGGACAATCAATAAATGTGTAGCATTTAATTTTCAATAAATTATGTGTAGCATATGACACAATCCGGTTCATACATCTCATTTGAAAGGAACCCATCTATGTCAGTGATCACCCATATAGTTATACAATTTTGAATTATACACACTTGATGTTATCAAAATATTAAAATGGAGATTGCACAATTGTGCTAATATCAACGAGGACAGGGACTTCCCTTTCTGCAAAATTCAGCAACAAGCTTAAGCTTTTACCTAAAACAAAAATTGTTTGTGATCTTCAAAAAAAGAGACACCGACGCCTAGTGCCTCAGGTCAGTCATCCAGTTCAATAACCCATGTTAAACCTACAGAAGATGTCAAAAGCAAATACTAGTATATAAGTATACACATCACCTTGGAAAAAAGAATTTTACCAAAATTAAAACAGAAGTCTATCCATCATCGCAACTAAGAATAATTAAGAAAAATAATATTATTAAGCTTTTAATGTCAAAGTCTTCCAAGGGAACAAAAGTTAATCCTTTCTGTTTGAGCATGAGATTTTTAGTTGCAAAAATATAAAAAGAAAAGGAAACTGTATTCCTCTTCAGGTAAAACAAACCATGAAAGCAAGTCCATGTGCAAATGTGCTTTTAAGAAAAAGGGGGTAGGCGTAAGGGTAGAGAGAGAAAGTGACCATGAAGGACAGTTTTAACTGCTGCATTAGGGACAAGAAGTCCAACTATATGTCTGTTATCTGATGTAGTTTCAACACGAACAATGCGTAGCCTCTTATGTATTTGCCGGGCCTGTACATTAAACAAACCACCAGAGGCTCAACAGAATCAGCCTATTTTTCATGATAAAGAAAGTTTTTCAGTTCCGAAATTGCTGAAAAGTTAGTTATATCATGTTATATCACAACAAAAGCTATCTATTACAATTTTCACATTGCCAATATGACCAATTCAAAACTCAAATAATTAAATCTAAAAGATATCAGTGGCAAATTGATACATCATAAATTGATTAATAATTTTAGCTACTGCATAACATAACCTTTCCCATGAATGATTTATGAGTTGGTGAAATACCTGCTTAGAGAGAGCCGATTGTATGTTTCCCCAAACAGGAAGAATAACGCCACCTAAGATATTTACTTCCTGTAGTCTTGAGCCAACTGAACAGAAGCTACCAAGCTTACAATTGGGACCATGCATGCACTGACAACAAAGGCAATATGTAAGATTACAAGTCAAAATTTGAGATAATGCGAATTTGAAAAATATACATATTTTCTCATCCCATGACTAAATGAGTGAGGCACACTAACATGCATATAGCACACATGCATTGATGTCACGAAATTTGGCTTGATGCCTTTCTCATTGCCTTTCATACTATATATAATAGTGTCGGTAATTACAACTCATAATAACTAATTATAGCTGATAATAACTAATTACAATTCATAATGACTAATTTCCTATTCTATGAATGTAAATTATTCACAATAACTGCAAAGATTATTTCCTAATTAACATCCCCCCTCAAATTGATGCGGCTGGTCAAGGAGCATCAATTTGCTAACAAGAAACTGATGTCTTGGGCGTGGAACAGCCTTGGTAAGAATATCTGCAACCTGCAACTGCGTACTGACGTGAGGAAGTGATATTATTCGATCATCGTAGGCGTCACGTATTGAATGACAATCAACTTCGATATGTTTGGTGCGTTCATGAAAAACAGGATTTGCAACAATTTGGATGGCACTTGTATTGTCAGCATAAAGTGAAGTTGACTCTGTTTGGGGAAATCCAAGTTCAGCCAAAAGACCACGAAGCCAAAGTATTTCTGAACACGCAGCAGACATGGCACGATACTCTGATTCAGTAGAAGATTTAGAAACTCTTGCTTGCTTCTTACTTTTCCAAGAGATCAATGAAGAACCAAGAAACATACACCAACCAGTAACAGATCGACGAGTATCAGGACACCCTGCCCAATCAGCATCACTATAAGCGCTCAACTGAAGAGAAGTTCCAACGGAAAAGAATAATCCGCGGTGAGAGGTTCCTTTTAAGTAGCGAATTATACGACGAACTGCAGCCAAGTGAAGATGGCGAGGAGAATGCATGAATTGACTTACTTGTTGAACAGCAAAAGATATGTCAGGGCGAATAATAGTCAAGTAGTTGAGGCTACCCACAAGTTGTCGATACAATAAGGGATCAGGCAACAGATCCTCATCATCACGATGATATTTAACATTAACCTCAAGAGGAGTATCTACTGGATTAGCCGATTCAAGACCGGCCATAGAAATCAAATTTGTAGCATACTTGTGTTGATGGAGAAAGATGCCCTTGGATGTAGAATGAACCTCAAGACCAAGAAAATAATGTAAATTACCCAGATCTTTCATATGAAATGAGGCCTGTAGCTGTTGCTTAAGTCGCTGAATGGAAGCATGATCCGAACCAGTAATAACCATATCATCAACATACAAAAGAAGCAGAACAATACCCGCAGATGTGCTATGAATAAATAAAGATGAATCATACTGACTCTGAGTAAAGGAGAATCCAAGTATAGTGGCGCGGAATTTCTCGTACCATGCTCGAGGTGCCTGTTTCAAACCATATAAGGAGCGTTTGAGCTTACACACGCCTTTAGATGAAGAGAATAAGCCTTGAGGTGGAGTCATATAAATATCTTCTGTCAGGTCACCATGAAGAAAAGCATTCTTCACATCCATTTGATGAAGAGTCCACCCATTAGAAGCAGCTATAGACATGATTGTGCGGACAGTTGTCATTTTGGCAACCGGTGCAAATGTCTCATCATAATCAATTCCATATTCCTGCTTGTTTCCTAACGCAACCAAACGAGTCTTGTAACGATTGAGGGACCCATCAGAATTCAGTTTCACAGAATACACCCATTTGCAACCTATAGGTTTTACATTTGAAGGACAAGTGACGATATCCCATGTGAAATTCTCTTGAAGAGCTTGGAGCTCTTCAGTCATTGCTTTTATCCATCGCACATCTTTAACAGCCTGTGAGTAACAAGTAGGAATAGATATGCTAGAGAGTGTGGCAGTCAGAGAAGTATGTGAGGAATCATACCTGTCTGGTGAATATCTATCTGGTGCGCGGGATATTCGACCAGAACGTCGTGGTTCAACCGGTACAGGATCAGGTGGCAGTTCAGCATCGGGAAGGGGTGTGGGAACCTGTTGTCTGTGTTTTCTGACATATACATGACCTGGTTTATAACGTTCTATAGCTTGAGGCATAATAGAAAAGTTAGGAAGAGTAACAATATCATTAATGGCAGGAGAACCACAGGGAAACATAAACTGATTATCAAAAAATGTCACATTTCTAGAAATGCGAAAACGATGGTTAGAGACATCATAACACACAAATCCCTTATGAGAGTTACTATATCCCATAAATGCACATTGAACGGATTGTGCTCCAAGCTTATGCCTTTCAAAAGGAGGTAAGTGAACAAAACACACACACCCAAAAGTATGTAAAGCACTATAATCAGGATGAATTTTAAATAGACGGAAGAAAGGAGAATCAAGATCAATAACTGTAGAAGGAATACGATTGATCAAGAAGACAGCCGTGGAAAGAGCCTCCACCCAAAATCGAGATGGTACAGAAGCTTGGAGAAGTAAGGTGCGTGTTACATCAAGCAAATGACGATTCTTACGTTCTGTCGTGCCATTTTGTTGAGGGGTATTGGGACAAGACCGTTGAGACAAGATTCCTTTTTGTTGAAGGTATTCCTGAAACTCATGAGACATGTACTCACCACCAGAGTCAGATCGAAAAATTTTAACACTTGCTTGAAATTGAGTTTCAACATATGTCAAATATTTCTTAAACATAGAAAACACTTCGGATTTAGAACGGAGAAAATATATCCAAGTAAAACGACTATAATCATCAATAAATGTGACAAAATATTTATAGTGAGCATGAGAAACCACAGGAGACATTCCCCATACATCACTATGAATCATCTCAAAACAAGTGGAAGCACGATTAGCACCAGACGGAAAAGGAAGTGTCTTACTTTTAGCCAATTTGCAAACAGAACATGAAACAGAGGCATCAGGAATAACATTTTTATTTTCCAACAAGCCACTTTTACATAAATGAGACAAAACAAAAGAGTTTGGATGACCTAGTTTTCTATGTCAATCCTCATAGGAATTCAAAACATTATGACAAGCAAGAGACAAATGATTAGAAATAAACTGTATTGGAAACAATCTTCCCACTTTAGGCCCCTATGCGATCACTTTCCCCGACACCTGCTCCTGCACAAGACAACCAGATCGAGAAAAATTAACATTACAATTATTGTCCACCAATTGACCAACAGACAATAAATTAGAAGCAAGTCCAGGTGAGACAAGCACATTCTGAAAATCCGAGTTTATGTCCCCAACGTTAGTGATAGACAAGGTATTACCATTAGCAATCTGAATTTTCTGATTACCATTATAAGAATGTAAATTGTGCAAGTTTTCAGATGAACCTGTCATGTGATTGGATGCACCAGAATCAATAAACCATGGACGAGAAACATGAGAAGACTTACCCTTAATACCCAAGGCTGAAAGGGCAGAAAGTACCATGTGTTGAATCATTTCAGGTTGTAGAGCATTGCCATCTGATGCACCAGTGGTGGAAGAGCCAATTGTATGGCCTGTAGTGGCATGAAATGCCTTCACCGAATGATGTGCTGGTCGTGGAGGACGCGTGGGACAGTTAGAAATGATATGACCTTGTTGTTTGCAATAATTACAAAACTTCTTATTGCAGTTACGAGCAATATGTCCAAACTGTTTGCAAGAAAAACATTGGACATGTTGCATATCACGACCTTTATTTCTACTTTGAGCAGCATATGCAATTGCCACAGGCTCAGAACTGACAGTATCATGA